ATACTAGGGGTAGGAATTGGTTTGATTTCATCATTGACCATCTGGCTATGATTGGTTTATTCTAGATGATGCATGTATCCCAAGCTTATTCTTTAAGTGTGATTATCTTTTTGGTTAAGTTACTGATAGCAATATATATTTATTATCATATATCATTGATAAAAGTGGGACAGTGGGGTAGCCTAGTGGTTAAAGCGTTCGCTCGTCGCCCCGAAGACCTGGGTTCGATTCCCTGCATGGGTACAATGTGTGAAGCCCATTTCTGGTGCCTCCAGCCGTGATATTGCTGGAATATTGCTAAAAGTGGCGTAAAACTAAACTCACTCACTCACTCATTGATAAAAGTAATATAGAAAATACATTTAATGTACTAATATCTGTTATGGACAGTCACGGTTCACTGTAGCAATACTGATAGCAATACATATTTATAAGAAATAGTATTTAAAATAATAATAATAATAATGAGAATATATACTTGCCTTTTCCTGGCTAGATATCCTGCCTTAAAGCACACAGTCTGATCATTATTACCCCAGATAACCCAAGCTGTCTGGCGCAAGAAGGTTAATAGTCTCACGACTTTTTCTGCTGGGTGAACAGAGGCAATTTTGAACAAACTCACTTGCCTGAGGTGAGACCACATGTATCACATTTATAGCGTATATTTAAAGTGTACAAACATCTGCTGTGGACAGTCACAGTCAACTGTAGCAATTCTGTTACTATATATCATTGATTTCAATAATGCAAGTATTCATGCAAATAGCATTAAATTTACCATGATCAGCTGTGGACATTTACAATCTATTAAGTTTCTGTGACCGATCACCCATCATAATGGCTACTGGATATACTGCTGTAACAACGATGGATGTGAGGATACAGAATATTTGTGTTGTGCAGCTCAGGAACAGGAACTGAAGAGAAACTGCTGTCAAGAAGTTGAAGAAAGTCAATTCACTGTTTACAGTCGAGATGTTATTGCTCTTTGATGCCTGTGTCAAAGGTCAAAGGCTTTTCTGAATAAATATTTTGATCACTCAGCGTGTTTATTAATGTGGAAATTGCTTGAGCTGGTTATCAGCCTGAACATATATATTGATAATCTGACTAGTTGATTTTGTCGCTCAATATTGATTAGATGATTGAAGTTGTTAAGAAGTTGTTCACAGTTGTCTGCTCCTGGCTTGCTAAGTTGACCTTGAACTTCCTGATGTGTTGATGCAGATGACATGAATCATGATGTCAACCTTCTATACAGACTTGTGTCTAGTGCAAGCGTCTTTCAACATCTCTCCATTGCAGGTTCAGATCCCAGATTTGAGTAATCATGTGCTTTGTTTTGTTGGTACCTGTCTCTTTGTTTGAAAACTTGCTGAAAAAATATGTCTGTTAGAAGGCCAAAATATGTTATTGTTATTGTCTTAGCAAGTCTGGAGGGAGATGGGGTAGTCTTGAGGTTAAAGCGTTTGCTCATCATGCCGAATACCTGGGTACAGTGTGTGAAGCCCATTTCTGGTGTCCCCCCGCCATGATATTGCTGGAATATTGCTAAAAGCAGGATAAAACTAAACTCACTCACACCGTAAAGCTTGTGATTGGTTTAATCTGTTTATGTTTTCCCAGGTTGATCGTCCGCATCCTACATCCAGTGTTGATGGTTAGAGGGTTCATGTATTAATGTTTCAGGTAGCAAACAGGACCAATGAGACAGAGAAATCACTGGTTCCACTTAAAATTGTTTCTGCAACTGCAAAAAGTCATAGTAAATTTGCAATTCCTTAATTTTTTCCATTAGTTTTTATCCATTCAATCTATTAAACAATTTAAGGAGACTGAAATTTCCTCCTGTCAGTCAAAACACCTCAGTATTAAAGTATCTGTCCTTGAATGATGTTCGCTCACGTTTGTCTAGTTAACCAGTTGTTCAGTGGGAGTTGGTGTTATTTGTACAAAAGCTTATAAAGAAAATTCTTCAGAGAGTTTTAAAAATGTATGATATAGGATTTGGAAGGTTAGTTCAGTTACGCCTGTGTTGTCTTGCCTTAGCAGTAATCCGGGTTCAATCCCATCAGCGTCAAATCAATATTCCCCATCTGCTGGCTTATCTTCCAATTAGAGAAAATAACCCTAATACCCCACCTTCAGGATGAAAGTGTTCCAATTTTGTCCATAATATTTCCAAAGTTAAGTAAGGGATGAACTTACATTCCCCAAGTTAGAACTAATTACATTTGATTTAAGGTAACACTTGCTATGGGCTTGTATTAATAAAAAGCCCTGAAGTAACAGTGATTTCCTTGACCATTGTTAATGTCCAGACATAGCCTCTGCCGATGCTTCCTGACCTGACCAACCCTTTCCATCTCCAATCAGCTGCCCAGTCTCCGGCTTGACCAATAGCGACCTCGCTAAGAAGAGTTGTGTGTTCCCAAAGGAAGGGGCAGTGATATAATTCAAATCAAAACTCAGCTAATTGAGGGATTTCTTATCTGTGTGAGTTTGTTTGTAAAATGTTGCAAGTCATTGCGGGAGGGCATCAATGGGACTGAATCCTGGCTTTCGTTTCTTGTCTGGCGTTGTTTGGTGATGGAATTGATGTCTGGGCTTGAATGGTGGGCTTATGTGGTTTCATCGTTAAGGGAATAGTGATTGGTCATTTGAGGAAAGATACACCGCTTATCTCTTTTGATCTGAAGAAATTAAATACATGAATAGGCCATGTACAATGTTCTGATCATGCAGTATTGGTAGAAGACTTTCTGGCACAAAATGGTGACTTTTAGGGTTATCCTGCTGAAAGTTGATGAATTGAGTAGTTGGCTTCAAAGATGGAGTTATTGACTTACAGCTGCCGAAGAGACTTATCAAGGGCATACTTGAATGTATGATACAAAAATCATATGGAGGAACTTAATGTTCAATGAGCCAAGGGGGAGACTTTCTGAGTGTTTTTGGAATGGTAGAGTGGCTTAATCACAGACTAATTGCTGTGGGACCTAGACAGTAGAGGTGAGAAAAAATTATATTCCTTCACTAAAATAGCAGTTTAATATCCAGTTAAATACCTTTATATTTACTTGACAAGGACTCATGCAGACATGGGCTTCTTATCCTTACCGTTTGTTTTGTTCTAGTCAAAAACATGTAATACAGAGACATATCTAGCCTAAAGTTAAATAAAACGTGAGCAAGTCAATGTTAACAAAGTATGTTCGTAACAAGTTCATGTTTGTTTATTTTAAAGCTTTTAAAATGTCCAAGCAAGCAGATCTATTTTGGAAAAAAATATAAAAAGTTAAATGAAGTGTGTTAAAATTTTACTTATATTTTTATTTTACCATGATGTTTAAGACTTGCAGTTGTTTTTCTCAAAGTTAGTTATCTTTCCAGCAAGTCTTGTTGATTCGAATAGTTTCTTGCAGTACCCAACTCACTATTCAGACTTGTCTACCTTTTTTTAAATCCAGACATGCTGATGCGACAGAGTCCTGCTAAAAAAATAATGTAAACAATTATACCAAGTCAGAAAAGACGATAGTTGCCTGTAGTCAAGCTGCATTAACTTCCCTTTGACAACAAAAACAAGATGCAACATTTGTCGTTATATTTGACAAATCTTTTAAGTTTGAAAAAACATCCTCGGTTTGTGCATGAATGTCCTTTAAAAATGTTTATGCTTAACATATGTGGTTAGTTAAAGACTGATGCCTACTGGTTGGGTGAGAGAGTTTTGCTTCACACTGCTTTGAAGACATTTTGGTTATGTTGGAGCATGTCAGCTGGATACAAGGGGAAACCTGATGCAGGATTTAGCCTTTTACCACTTTGTTGAGACATAGGAGCATGGGTATGATGCTGACATGACTAGAAACATGATCAGGATGAAGTTCGGCTTTAATGCCACCGTAGAAGGTTTTTGACATGTTCTGGACAACAAATCATGCTTCTTTTCCTGGTCCTCATTTTATGGAACCAAATGTTTTGTATGACCTTTCAACTCAGTTTTGGTTGACAGTATCATTAAGGAGGTAGAGGAGCATATCAGACATTCAGACATTAGTTGATGACTCTGAGCAGGGGACTTATGGTTCAGACACTAGTTGATGACTCTGAGCAGGAGACTTATGGTTCAGACACTAGTTGATGACTATGAGCAGGAGACTTATGGTTCAGATATTAGTTGATGACTCAGGACTAATGGTTCAGACACTAGTTGATGACTATGAGCAGGAGACTTATGGTTCAGACATTAGTTGATGACTATGAGCAGGAGACTTATGGTTCAGACACTAGTTGATGACTCTGAGCAGGAGACTTATGGTTCAGACACTAGTTGATGACTCTGAGCAGGAGACTTATGGTTCAGACACTAGTTGATGACTCTGAGCAGGAGACTTATGGTTCAGACACTAGTTGATGACTCTGAGCAGGAGACTTATGGTTCAGACATTAGTTGATGACTCTGAGCAGGAGACTTATGGTTCAGACACTAGTTGATGACTCTGAGCAGGAGACTTATGGTTCAGACATTAGTTGATGACTCTGAGCAGGAGACTTATGGTTCAGACACTAGTTGATGACTATGAGCAGGAGACTTATGGTTCAGGAGACTTCAGGACTCGTATGGTTCAGACAACCTGATGACTGAGCAGGAGACTTATGGTTCAGACATTAGTTGAGACAATGGGCAGAAAACTTCAGGATATATATTGTTCTGACACATTCAAATGACTATGAGCAGGACACTTATGGTTCAGACACATTCTGATGACCGAGCAAGAGATTTATGGTTCAGACACACACTGATGACTATGAGCAGGAGACTTATGGTTCAGACACATTCTGATGACCAAGCAAGAGATTTATGGTTCAGACACACACTGATGACTATGAGCAGGAGACTTATGGTTCAGACACATTCTAATGACTATGAGCAGGGGACTTATGGTTCAGACACAAGCTGATGACTAAGGGCAGAAGACTTCAGGACAAATATGGTTCAGACACAAGCTGATGACTATGGGCAGAACACATCAGGGTGAATATGGTTCAGACACAAGCTGATGACTATGGGCAGAAAGCTTCAAGACAAATATGGTTCAGATACTAGCTGACAACAATAAGCACAGTTTGAATTCCTCTTGGGAGATGCATCATATTGGGTGGAACACAGGCAATCAATGGCTGATAGTCTGTAACAACGTTACAACAATAGTGATGCAAACTTTTATTGACTTCAGACCGACGAGGGAAATGTCTTTGCATGGAAAGCAACCTTCGTTTGGACTCATAACGATCCACTTTGCCGCTCTTGTTGGACCCAGTCTGATTGCATATGTCACATTGTGGGTGTAAAATGATTGTGTGTAGAGCAAGCTATTAGTGTGGCTCCAGATACTATTATCAGTGGTTTATTAGTGTTTGGAGGGCTTATCCAGACTCACCTTGGCAAAGCTATCTTTGGGACTATCATATCAAGCTGTGTTTTTTGGTTTGGGATTATGGAAGAATTGCTAAAAACAGTATGAAGAGTCACTTGTGTGATTATTTCATCAGCAACCGTGATTACACATGTCATGTTTGGGGTATATAGTGACAGACTGCTGATGGTGTTCCTGAACACACTCATTCACTACTAATATACTCAAGCATTCATCCAGTCACAAACTCCAGGATCCATCCAGTCACAAACTCCAGGATCCATTCAGTCACAAACTCAAGCATTCATTCAGTCACAAACTCAAGCATTCATTCAATCACAAACTCCAGGATCCATTCAGTCACAAACTCAAGCATTCATTCAATCACAAACTCAAGCACTCATTCATTCACAAACTCAAGCATTCATTCAGTCACAAACTCAAGCACTCATTCAATCACAAACTCCAGGATCCATTCAGTCACAAACTCAAGCATTCATTCAATCACAAACTCAAGCATTCATTCAATTACAAACTCAAGCACTCATTCAATCACAAACTCAAGCATTCATTCAGTCACAAACTCAAGCACTCATTCAATCACAAACTCCAGGATCCATTCAGTCACAAACTCAAGCATTCATTCAGTCACAAACTCAAGCATTCATTCAATCACAAACTCTAGCACTAATTCAGTCACAAACTCTAGCACTCATTCAATCACAAACTAAAGCACTAATTCAGTCACAAACTCAAGCATTCATTCAATCACAAACTCAAGCATTCATTCAGTCACAAACTCAAGCATTCATTCAGTCACAAACTCAAGCACTCATTCAATCACAAACTCAAGCATTCATTCAATCACAAACTCCAGGATCCATTCAGTCACAAACTCAAGCATTCATTCAGTCACAAACTCAAGCATTCATTCAATCACAAACTCAAGCATTCATTCAATCACAAACTCAAGCACTCATTCAATCACAAACTCAAGCATTCATTCAGTCACAAACTCAAGCACTCATTCAATCACAAACTCCAGGATCCATTCAGTCACAAACTCAAGCATTCATTCAATCACAAACTCAAGCATTCATTCAATCACAAACTCAAGCACTCATTCAATCACAAACTCAAGCATTCATTCAGTCACAAACTCAAGCACTCATTCAATCACAAACTCCAGGATCCATTCAGTCACAAACTCTAGCACTCATTCAATCACAAACTAAAGCACTAATTCAGTCACAAACTCAAGCACTAATTCAGTCACAAACTCAAGCACTAATTCAGTCACAAACTCAAGCATTCAGTCAGTCACAAACTCAAGCACTCATTCAATCACAAGCTCAAGCATTCATTCAATCACAAACTCAAGCACTCATTCAATCACAAACTCAAGCATTCATTCAGTCACAAACTCAAGCATTCATTCAATCACAAACTCAAGCATTCATTCAATCACAAACTCAAGCACTCATTCAATCACAAACTCAAGCATTCATTCAGTCACAAACTCAAGCACTCATTCAATCACAAACTCCAGGATCCATTCAGTCACAAACTCAAGCATTCATTCAGTCACAAACTCAAGCATTCATTCAATCACAAACTAAAGCACTAATTCAGTCACAAACTCAAGCACTAATTCAGTCACAAACTCAAGCACTAATTCAGTCACAAACTCAAGCATTCAGTCAGTCACAAACTCAAGCACTCATTCAATCACAAGCTCAAGCACTAATTCAGTCACAAACTCAAGCACTAATTCAGTCACAAACTCAAGCACTCATTGACACATTCACACCCTCAAGCACTCATTCACAAAGTCACAAACTCAAGCACTCATTCACAAAGTCACAAACTCAAGCACTTACTCACACATCACCAACTTCAGGCACTATTTCATTTATTAACAAAGTTCAAGCACTCTCTCAGTCACAAACTCAAGCATTCACAGTCTCAAGATTCAGTTTAAGCAGTCACTCAGGCACAATGATATTGAATGCATATTTTGAAGAAAAAACGACTCCCTGATTTATATTCCCACCTTGTCTGCTTCATCCTTCAATGTTTCCAACTCCCAGAAGTCTCCCAGTTTTTCCGTCAGTGTTGTGATGGACAATCTAACTCTCCATCAGTTGTCCCTGCGTGAATGAACATGGATAGGTATCTGTCATTCAAAAACCCATGATCAAGTTGAAACAACCAAACAACAGTTGTTCAGCCTGGTTACAGGTGAGTGAGTGAGTTAACGAGGTTACAGGTGAACATCATGTGATCAGCTTCGTGTTGAGGGCTGGTATCAGGAGAAGTCGTCAACAAATTGAACGTGATAGGTTGCAGAAGTTTGCCATTTTGGAAAAACTGCTGTACATGTAGCTGTTTTATCAAGCTATCAAAGAGCAGAATGTTCATCTTGGGTCTAATTCTGCAGTTCTGTGCAACAGAGTCACAGCAAAAAGGCTCTTGGTACCAAGTGACATAATATTTATCAGATATGGTCTGTGATGTGAATTCCAGATCTCTGGGAGCAACAGGCATGATTTAGAAATGTTTTGATGCATGTCCCAATAAAAACATAGTTCAGTGGGATAGCTGAAGGAACAGGTGTTGAAAAACCTAGACGATCATCATGTTAATAGTTTTGATAATAAATATTTGAATGGCGTTTAAAATCATGAGATGTTATGGTACTTAGGCAAAAACGATGTGAATATGTTGAACATTAATGTTTTTAGTGTTTGAAACAAGATCAGTTTTGATGAAAAACTCATGTTTAAAGCAGTTAGGTTTCACTGCCTGCTGTAATACATAAACTGTGGAAGTAAATCAGGTCGGCTGAAGTCAACAATTTAGGCACGATATTAATTAAAACTTTACCAAAGATGAAAGTCAAGAGATTATGCAGTCTCCTGGAAATGCTTCTCAGCTCCTCTCTGTAAGTTTGACATGATGAAATTTAAGACATTTGCCCCATTCTGAGTCATGTAAAATTGACGTTTTTCAGACATCAGAAATATTACACTCTGGTTTTCAATAAACTGAAATGGAGGAATTTTACTCTGGCAGACTGACCTGGAGGTATAAACCTCCACAGCCAATATTGTCAGGGATTGGAAGATGTCTGGGATTGGTAGATGTCAGAGATTTATAAATATGGTTTTTTTTTAGAGGTTTGGAATTGGTAGAGGTTGGGGATTGGTAGAGGTTGGGGATTGGTAGATGACAGGAATTGGTAGAGGATGGGGATTGGTAGATGTCAGGGAATTGGTATAGGTTGGGGATTGGTAGAAGTCAGGGAATTGGTAGAGGTTGGGGATTGGTAGATGTCAGGGAATTGGTAGAGGTTGGGATTGGTAGATGTCAGGGAATTGGTAGAGGTTTGGGATTGGTAGATGTCAGGAATTGGTAGAGATTGAAAATTGGTAGATGTCAGGGAATTGGTAGAGGGTGGGGATTGGTAAATGTCGGAATTGGTAGAGGTTTGTGATTGGTAGATGTCAGGAATTGGTAGATATTGGGGATTAGTAGATGTTGGGAATTGGTAGATGTCAGGAATTGGTAGAGGTTGGAAATTGGTAGATGTCAGGAATTGGTAGAGGTTGGGGATTGGTAGATGTCAGGGAATTGGTAGGGGTTGGGGACTGGTAAATATCAGGAAATTGGTAGAGGTTGGAGATTGGTAGATGTCAGGAATTGGTAGAGGTTGGGGACTGGTAGATGTCAGGGAATTGGTAGAGATTGGGGATTGGTAAATGTCAGGGATTGCTAGATATTGTGGATTGCTAGATATTGTGGATTGCTAGATATTGTGGATTGATAGATCTGTAACCCACTGAATAGCAGGCTAATTTCTGAACCATCATTTGACTGTATTCAATTATAATACGACCACTGCTTGCATGTAAATGTAGGCTTTCATTATCCATTGTCTGTTTTAGAATATGCCTTTATATGACATGTGGCTGTCCGACCTTGGTTGGTTGTTGACTAGTACAGACTGAATGTACCTGAGTCTAGAACATATTGTAGAATAATTATGTGTATATGTTATCGGGAGGCAATGGCTCCATTGGTTTTGGCATACCTTGGAACTGTGGCACCATATTAAGATGGAACCAAGCCCACCTAATTTCTGTTGGTATGGTTATACAAGAGATTGTAGTGATTACGTTACTGTAATACAAAAAACAGCAGTTGTCATCAGGTGTTCTAGTAATGGTTAAAAACTGTAGACTGGCACGAGAAACACACGAAACAGTAAAATCACAACGTTGTTTACTGGCACCAATGTCAACCACAATGTCAAGGAGCATTTTTGTCTCGTGGGAATACATGCAGTGTCACATTGCAACATAGCTGATTACCTTAGATGTAGATGCTAAAAAACCTGCACTCTTCATGCAACTGTTGTGATTATCAGCACTAATATTATGACCAAAACCTAATGGCATCCTCGTCTTTTTCACCTCCGCTGATGAGGAAACAGCTCAAATGCATCAGTGTCATTGGTGCCATGTTTTTGCCTCTCAAGGTCGTGTTTGACTTTGGGAACACATGACACTAATACCCACTTGCATGTTTTGCTATTAATAGCAGTACGACACAGACACTGTGTGAGCAAGGAGACAGAGATGTGTACTTCGGTGTCCTCGTCTTTATTTGCCAGCATGGTGTACATTTCAACTCCTCCAGGTCCTTGACTGTCCTTGTAAGGCCGTGATGATGAGGAGGTTGGCTTTGATGCAATGCTGCTATGTCATCAATTCCGTTGTGATGATGCTTACGTTGTCTTGACATGCAACTTTCTTTTCACTGTCAGGAAGGATAATAATTGTTGGAAGAAATAAGTCTTTGACATTCCTGCTGTATCAAGACGAATGGTTCGGTGTCAGGTGATGGAGATTGTCGACAAATATCTGTCAAAAGCTTGTATTCAGATGGAATTCAAGTGGTCATTACGCAAAGAAAAAAATGGTTTTGTGAATGGATGTTTTTAAATATCTGAGGACGAATAATTGATTTGTCTGTAATTTTGGACAGAGGATGTGAAAGATGGTTTTGATTTGTCTTCTAGTGGGACTACCTTAAATAATGATGTCTTAGATTCAGTCTGGCTCTGAATGGTTATCTGATCACTAATAATGTGGATGTTTTAAATATGGGAATGTTGACATTCTTTGTACTATGATCATGAATATGGGAAACATTACTGCTCACTTATTTAAACTGTAAAGATTTAAAGGATCTCAAGGTTAAAATATGTGCAGAAAAAAGCATCAATGACCCAGAACCGCTCTTAGTGTCTTGAGTGCCCCCTTGTCCATGTCAGTGTCGGTATAATTAGTCCGAGTCTTGTATCCATTTTAAATAAAAAATGGCTGTAGAAGTGCAATAATCTTGAACCTTAAACCCCATTTCATCTCGCCATCTTTACACAAGCAGAGTGCTATTGGTGTCAAGTACAGTGTGATAGCCATAGCAGAGGCATAGCTTTGAAGAATGTTATCCCTAGATGTAGAATGTTCATAGTTCCAATACTTAAATGCTGACTTACGACAACCATTGCAACAAGATACTTCAACACTGACTTATGACAGCCATTGCATCAAGATACTTAAACACTGACTTACGACAGCCATTGCACCATGATACTTAAACACTGACTTACAACAACCATTGCACCACAATACTTATATGCTGACTTACGACAGCTATTACACATACAGTGAGACCTCGGATATCCGGACACATTTGTTTTTACGTAAATCGTCCGGATAATTGAATATCCGGATATCTGGATTTTTGGTTTTCATACACCTCAAGGAAAATCCAAAATGTTTATGATCATCAAGCGTTTATTGTACATGTATAGACATTCAAAAACAGCATCACAACAAAACAATCGTACCTTTACAATTATTCAGTTTTGAAAAAGTCTTTCATTGAGGACTGCTTACACTGGGTGCCGCTCCTTTGCAACACGACGGATAACATTTTTTCGAGGTTTTCTCGGTCGCCATTGTTCTCAAAGTAGCTGAGTAGGCCTTCGTAATATTTCTTTGCTTTGACTGAATAAACAACTTAACAGTTAGAACTCAATGGTTAACTCAGTGTCAGCTAGGCCTTCTAATCACCACCAATACCTTGATGATCATTAATCCGGATTAGCCGACCATGTCTCGTGTCAAAACACGTGGGACTCTCGCACTTCCCTTCACACGGTTAGCGGTGGATCAAAGCTTCGTGCGGATAGGTGAGTCAATTTTGTGTTGATTTAGCCGGTTTGTTTGTAAAATGTACCGTCCGGAAACGGAAACCGAATATCCGTTATAGACAGTCACTTTTATAATGTAAGAGATTGTTTTTTCCAAAAAATTGACCGGAAGGCGAGGTTTCCGGATATCTGGGGTCCGGGTATCCGAGGTCTCACTGTATATAGGTTTGTGAAACGGACATGGGCATGAACATGTTGGGCTTTGCTAATGAAGCATGTTGTAGATGAACTTTATGGTGTAAGTGTAATTAGCTATGTGTTTATTTTCTTTGTATAGTGAGTGATGTTTGGGATCAAACATACCACATTATATCAGTATGTTAGAGTTAACTTTTTAACTAAACAGTTTTGGTGAATTGAAGCCCAGTAACCCTGGGCCTAGATTTTCGAAGCTCTCGTAGCGCTAAGATAGTCGTAAGTTTATGTTAATGTATGGCACTTACGACTATCTTAGCGCTAAGAGAGCTTCGAAAATCTAGGCCCTGAAGTGTTTTGTTAATGTTAAAGTTATCATAAGAGCTCGTAGAATTTCGAACATTTTACGGGTTACTGCTTTATGTTATCTCTGTTCAGGCTAATTGACATTCCTGATTAATTTCTATCCTTGCTGACCAATTAATTTTGATAAATTGGTTAGGATAAGCTAGTCATTAATCATGATTTTACAACCAATCCCGAACACTTAGCCTATCACATAACATATCAAACATCAAGTGAGTCATTTCTTCTTCCATGTGGTTCTTGTTGCTCAGGGGGCGGTGGGGTAGCCTAGTGGTTAAAGCGTTGGCTCGTCACGCTTAAGACCCGGGTTCGATTCCCCACATGGGCACAATGTGTGAAGCCCATTTCTGGTGTCCCCCGCCGTGATATTGCTGGAATATTGCTAAAAGCGGCGTAAAACTAAACTCAGTCAGTCAGTCTTGTTGCTCAGCTGGTTCAAGTGTTGTTCTAAAGTTCTTCAGTTGATGGACTTGGCATCTTGTTTGTATGACCTTCGTTAGAACTGTTAGGCAACACAGGATCATGGGGTATTGGACAGTTACAGAAGTCTACCTTTTACCAGACGATATTATCCATTGTATGTATGGGAAATATAAGCTTATCTTGTCAATGACAGTTGTCAATTTCGGTATCCTAGCTTTCGCCAGTCGGATCACAGTTTTGCTTCCAGATCAAAGACAGGTTCTGTTTGATGTCATTTTC